GCAACGCGGCGACTGTCGCGCTGCTTTTATTTAATTTATTAAGTATGTCTCACGAAAGTTACAATACAAAGCTATATTTTAAATTAAAAATATATTTTTACAATACCCGGTCCTATTGTAAAAATATATTTTTGGCGCACTTTCGGAAGCGATCCGGGAAAATCATCGAATGACTGCTCCCGCCTGGGTGAAGCGGGAGGGAGTGTCAGACTCTTACTGACTAAAAACCACCCCGTTCCTTCTCCTGCGCTTCGAGCCGTAGCCCCGGTAACCCGTTAAGTTCTCCGCGATGGAGCGGTCCGTTTAGGTACCCTGTATGTCATAGTGGCCCGGAGGTTTAGCTCACTTCTCATGCGTGAGGGTTCGGGCTTGATACCTACCAACGGTAGCTATCAATGTGACTTTTTCCTAGTTATATGTTCTTTCTAAGATTATTTGATGCTACTGACCAAAAGTCTCTTCTCACACGGAGAAGTTTTGAGCATTAATCACCACGCTTGCTCAATGCAGGCGATGTCAAACTTAATAAAATAAAATCAGGTGTTACTTTCCGGAAGTTCATGCTACACTAAACAGTGTGAGATCGGCACGAATGGGCCGGCTCGACCGAAGTGATACGACAGTCGAGCGGAAAACCATAATAAAACAAAAATTGTGTTGTGTTTCGTCATGTGAGTGAGGTTACCGGAGGGCCAGCTCCCTCCTACCTTCCCCAATCTCTCCAATCCCCGAATCCCGAAAAGTCCTCAAACTCCTAATCCCCAAAAGGCTGGTAACGCACTTGTAACGCTTCTGGTGTTCCAGGTGTCCATGGGCGAAAAAAAACAACCGGAAAAATATTTAGTTGGTATTCCGCTGACTGAAGGAATAAGCTGCACTCAGCGGCACGAGAGCCGCCGTGTCAACAACTCTTGAGAAAGCTTCGTGGAGGAGCGACACATAATGTCGAATGTGGTTGAGGAAACCTAGACTTATCATCAATACATAGTATAAAACAAAGTCACTTTCGCTGTATGTCCGTATGTATGCTTAGATCTTTAAAACTACGCAACGGATTTTGATGCGGTTTTTTTTAATAGATAGAGTGATTCTTAAGGAAGGTTTGTATGTATAATACATGCATATTGCACCCGTGCGAAGCCGGGGCGGGTCGCTAGTAATTTCTAATTATAAGTTTGAAATCGCCAATCTGCATTGAGCAAGCGTAGTGATAAAAAAAAATATATAAATAAATAAAAAGTGTTTATTGTAACAAAAACCTTAGACACACAGTTTATTAATACTAACATCTAGACTAGGCCGAGCCTGTACCTTAGATGTTAGTTCCTTCCAATTGATACAATATATTATTTACAATTTATAGCTTGTAATGTTTTATAATACCATTGATATCTAATGCACGAGTATGACAATACAATAAAACAACCTTGAGAGACAGGAGGGTACCTAATAAAAACTACTTTAAACAATATCAAACTTTTTATGAATTACCCGCACAGAATGAATTCACTTTAGTATAGTCAAACCACTAAAACAATGAACTTAAATAATAATATTATGTATATATTTTTATAACTTTATTATTTTATTTATTTATGTGTAAAGTGTAGTGTAAGGTGGTGTATGCATCAGTGTGATTAATGTTGATAAGAATTTAAGTTTTATTTATATACATATTATAAATAGTGATTATTGAAGATTGTTTCTTTTTCCCGCAAATTGGATATTAGTTAAATTTGCTTAGTAATTAGTGTTTGTTAATTATTTATTTAGTATTAATCTACATACTTTATTATAACTAGTAAAACATACATGCACAGTAGACCAAAATTGGAAACAATAACACACCAGATTCCTTTTATCTTTTATAACTAGTGTATTGAGTTATTATTACTGTAATATATGTATTTTTAACTTGGTTACTGTAAAACAACAAACAAGTTTTCAATATCTACATAGTTTTGTTTTTTTAACCAGACTGTTACAACTTTTTTGCAGCAATAACATGTTAAGGGATAAAGGTTAAGTTTTTTATTTAATTTATTGTAAAGCATGGGGCCAATATAGCACTGGAATTTCCTAATAAAGAAAGTGTTGTATGATTCGGTTATACATACTTTATGGTTTCGCCTTGACGTTATTGTTCCTTTAAAGGTAAGGTTCTGATGTTGTGACAATATGCTTTGCCTAACAAACAACTGCCGGACAGTTAAAACATCGCATTCAGTGTACAAATCAAATGTAGGATATCTGAAAGGTTTAGA